TAGGACATGACTTAAATGACAAGTCATGACTTAAAATGTAAAAATAATTTGCATTTCCAGTAATGTCAGGATGGGTGGGCTTTAGAAAATGTTGGCATAGACATAGCTTCAGGAATATGAAGTAGCATGTGAGGCACAAGTCAGCGAGATCAGAAATATTCCACTGGCTTGTTGAGCATTTTTCCTTGTTAACTTGGTAAGAGATGTAATGAGGTTGTAACTGCAATTGTTCTTTCTATGTTACAGTTTTGTCATGCCCTACATTTAGATGTATGACTGTAATACGAGCATATAATGCCACGCAGTGCTGTTCTCTTTATTGTATTTGCAACTTTATTTTTCAATCAGTCTACAAGTATTTACATAAAACCAAAATATGTCCTTAGTATCAAGACTTTTACTGAGAAACTGTGATGAAATAAAGCTTTTCAGCATCCTTTTTAATATTAAATATTTATTAGTTGTTTAAAAAAAAATCTATCTCAACTTTAGTGAGTCTCTTGCAATCATTTCTGTTCCATATTAAAGGTAATATATAACACTATTGTGTAGGATTTTAAAATCTCCAACTGATCATATTTTTTTCCCCAAGTTCACAGCAGGCAAGTCTTATACTACTGATCTTTTTTTTTTGTTCAGATACTAGGGCACAATTTCCTTTTTCTGAATATGATGTATCCTTTAATAGGTTATAAGCATACTGTTATAAGTTGTGCTGTGTTTGGACATCATTTCAACTGTGGACAGCTATTTTAAGCACAATTTTCTGTCAGTTGAATTTCCTGAGCATTGCAGTTATAAGTCTTGTATCTAGATGATAGTAACTATTTGGCTCTAGGTTTTGTGAATATGGCTTGGGAATGGTTTTGATTAACAGCAATGTTCAAACAATTAATATCTGCAAAAACTGCATTCGAATAGATCTGGAGTTCAATAAAAGTTCAATATTGAACAAGGGAAAGAAAAGATTTAAATATCATGGAATCTGGACACTGAGACTTTTGTAGTAGACAAAATGATCTCTGCCTAACCCCTGCTTGGGAGCATTCACTAGCAGTAAAGTCAAAACTATTATAGGTTATCACCTGAGCATTTAGAAAACTTAATAATTAATTCAAAATTATTGATTTTTTTTTTAATCTGCATAGTGATTGTTATGATATGGGTGAATGACAAATTTCGATTGTTCAAAGTGACCAAACAGTAGAAACTTGTCTCAACTACTTCCAGTATATACAGGAAATTAATAAGTTCTGTCTTTATCCAGTGATTTTTAATGTCTGATTTCTTTTTGTCTTGCTACTGCCGGAAGGTGCGCCTTGCTACAGTAGGTGGACAAATAGTGCATCTCCAGAAATGTAAGCTTTCTTCTTAACAGGAATTCATGCAGAAGTGCCTTTTCATGAGTAGTTTTTGTTTAACCTTCTGTGTGTTTAATTATATTCAGTTCTTTAGAAGTGTATTTGAACCAATACATGTGAGTAAATACATATTTTTTTTCAAATATAGTTTATTGTCAAAAGCAGAAAACAAATTTATGTATGTCTATGATGTAATGGTCCAAAACATTTTAGGAAAGTCTGTTAAAGACCGGTATGGTTTGTGGATTTTCTGTGTGTTCCCTTTTTCTGGAAGCATAGGTGGCCAATGTGACTAAGCCATGTCCTGGCTGTTTGGGCAGCCATATCAAAGACTGTCTTCAGAAACAGATCAAGTTCATGCTTATGACTGGTTATGGTTTCCTGCTTTCGCATGTATATATGTGAATTCCAGAACTTCATTACTCTGGTGGTTCAAGGTTTTAATGTCTAATAGCAGTAAATTAATGGCTGTTTATTCTTGTACTTACTTTGTCAGGTAATCTTGACTTCTGGCTTTTTTTGCTAGTAAATAACTATATGCTTTATAGTCTTTATCATACGGGACTAAAGAAGTCTGATTTTTCCACAGTTGTGGTCAAAGCTGCGTGCTAACCTGCAGCAGTTTGCGGCCATGTAGTTCTGTATCCACATGCAAGATGCACTGGTTTTTTTAAACCACTCACCTCAACACTGACAGGTTGAAAATTAACTTATTTGGTTTCACCACTATAGCACAGGATTTGAGGGAGGTGAGGTTACAATCCCAAGTCAAGGCAGTGGAATGGATGTGGTACCAAAACACCAATGCATGTGAGTTTTGAATCAGTGTGTGAAGCAGTATAGAGTGCTTAAGAGTTTGAATTTAACACAAATTAATTTCTGTTGGCTGTAAAATGAAAAACTGAGGAATTAGTGAGACTTTTTACCTTGATAGTGGTCATTTTACTAGTTATGCACTTTGATTTAAAGAAAAGTCATCTTTCGCTCTGTTAAGAATGCCACAAGTGGCACATATACCTTAAGTAATACAGCGGTTAATTCTTTGCATGCACACTTACTGAAGTGAAATCTAGGGCTGTAAGTAAATGTGTATGCTTTCTGAGCCAAGCCTAGCAAAGTTCAGTGTTTCTGAATGAAATTCACAACAGCCAATTTGCTAAGCAGGGCACTATCTACCTCCACATCTGCTAATACTGGACTTGCACTTAGGCATAGCAATGCTCTGTGAAGTTCCTCCTTGACTGAAGAACATAAGCAGAAAAGATGCCACCTGATTTAGAAAGCAGCCAAATAACAACTTCGAGATGATAATACTGGATTTAGATAAAATATGTGTCCAAGTACTATTTTTTTTCATTTACTCTAGCTGCTCAATATTATTTGTAACATGTCTGAGACCAAAGTATTCTCATTATTAAGGAACGCTGCTAATCACTACCGTGACTTTGTGATTTTTCTGGTGAATCTTGACATCATCAAGGAGATGAAACAAAAACTACTCACATAAACAAAACACTGTTTAAGGCACTTTCCTAATGCCATTTTTCATTTTTTTCAGGACCCTTCAGAGTGAAGGGAAAGGCTGGTCATTTGAGTTAAGTGTTGCACTTATTAGTCGGTGCCTAGAAATTCACAACTGCTGTTGTTTTAAGGGGGAAAAAAGGCTCAGCTGTCTTCAGCTTTACTGTGTCCTATCCCTACACAACAATTCCAGATTGTAGGCAGCAATTTGTGGGACACGCTGAAGTGAAAGCCTCAATTACTTACTGCATTTCAAAGCGGTGAAGGAGTTTAGACAGATCCCATGAGCTACTACTTATTAATAGCTAGCTTGCAGCAGCTCCCTGCTTAGGCTGCAGTTGTGAGTCTCACTCTAAGGCACCTCTACTCTGCCCTGTGTACACTATGAGAAACTGGGGGATTTTACTGCTGGATTTTACTTTGAGGCCTCAGTTAATAAGAGTTCGCCATGTCTGTTATACAGTCTAATTCAACACACCTAATTCATCCTCACATTTTTGGGTGAAGACTGCTCAAGTGCAAAATAGTTAAAATTTTGTTGATGGTGCATTTGAGAAGCTTACTTTCAGTGCCTAATTTCTTTTACACTTTTTTAAAATCCAACAATTATGCTTCACCTCTGATGATGATACGACAGTGGGTTTTCTTATACTTAAAGTGTTGATTTTTAAACACCAAGTATTTTTCCTGCTGCCCCTAGATGAATGTAAACAGGAAGGTCTGTGGTGCAGCTGGTAGTTTGTATATTGACACAGGTAGCACATTTTATCTGCTTGCAAATATGTGTTCAGAATCAATAAGCATAAACATTTAAGTAGAATGGGACATTTAAGAGTGCACATACAGGGGATATTTTAATTATATATGACGGGTTTATTACATGCAATTATAAAGCTATGTTCATAACCAGTCATTGGCCTCCTGTGATTCAGGAACACTGCTGCTGCATATTCAAGGTCAAATTATTTTCCATAGTGAAAAAAAAAAATTACGTTTTTCAGCTAAGTGTCAAATTTGTCTTAAGAAATTTTAATTAAGAATTGCTTATCTGATTGAGAAGATGATGGAAAGGAGGTATTTATTTTCTTCCCACCTCCCAAAAGGTGATCGTACTTACAAAATTCGCTGAGATTGTCCAAGAAAGTGTGTAAAATCCTCATCCATCACCAAGAGCCCCTGGTCAGGGAATGACAGTGCAGTAAATATCTTCAGCAGCTGCCTTTTAATGTACAAGCTGTTTTCGGTAGGAATTTTCAGCACTCACATAAAACACACTGTCATGAGTGACTGCCTGTGCTCCAAAGTCATTACTATTGGGATGATGGAACATCTTTCAGCGAATAACCAAAAAACTTTAAATGTCATGTCAAGTGTGTTGAAGGCATTTTCAAGCCTTGCTCAAGGTTACATGAATATTGAGTAGGCCTGTTTTTAAAAAGTTTGAGATCTATGAGAGAAGCGACTCATATGCTGGTTTGGAAAACAGTCACTTGATCTGGAAGGGGCATGGGGAGTGACAGAAAAAGAAATCTGTCTATTAATACATGCCAAACCTGCAAAACTCCTGCCTGGATATTAACTGAGTGCAACTTTGTGTGACAGGCAATGCCAGTGATGTTTAGCAAAAAACAGTGAATTATGCAATTTCTTGAAATTATTTAGCTGCCTAAAAGTTCCCTAAGGAAAGAAAAGGTATAACAATTGAATTAATAATTAAATTAAAATAGACTTTTGAATACATTTTAAAATTTGAACAATGAAAAAGTATGTAGGAAATGTAATTAATGAGGTAAAACCTTGGAAGACACTGAGAGGGGATAGGTACCTCTTTGACTCCAGTAAGAAAGGGGGATCCTGTAATCCTATATCCATGATTTTGTAAGAAATATGGATGTTAATTTAATGAAGACATGTAAAGTCTGTATCACTTCCAAGGGACCCAGTCCACTGCTTTTGAAGTGGATAATATATTTTGTCTTACCTCCTTGGCATTCATTACTCCTTGTAGTACATCATCTGCATGTAAAATTTCTCTGATCAAGAGGTCTTTTTATATTACAGAATATTGAAACTGAGTATTTTAATATGAAACAAGGTTTGTTTGATTTGTCTCTGCAGAGAACCAGAAAGGACAGCCAGAGAAGCCGTGTTCACACCACAGTATCACTTTAAACTCAACAAGAAGCCCAGTCACCAAAGAAGTTACATATGATGTGGAAACAAGTTCTAAGGTGTTGAACAGGGCTGTTGGGAGAAAGGAATCCTGTCATGGAGAAGGTGGCAAAGAGAAGAAAATGGATCGTATCGGGTCCCCTCCTAAGGGAGAAGCCATTCCAGAAGTAGAAGCTCTCTTGGCAAGACTGCGAGCACTATAGAATAATCATATAATGGATTAAATAAAAGTTAAAAACAATAGCCTACACTACATCTTTAAAGAAATAATAATTTTCTATTTTTGATGTTACATATTTCTGACTTCCTGACTTCTATGTGGATGAAGGATCTGCTTCTAAACTTTGTTTGCAAGACTATAGAAAACAATACTATAGTTTTGGATAACTGCAAGATTGTTTTTTATTATATGTTTTTACTTAAAAATCATATGAAAAGTATCAGAAGAAGATAAATACTAAATTGTTCCAAAGCACAATCTTTCTAGTGGACAGGCTGCTAACCATCTGTTTTGAGTGCTTCTGAAAATAGGAATATCTTTTAAGTATTGTTAAATCATCATGCCTGGGAATAGGGTCAATAAATAACACAAAAAAGGTATTCTTATATTTTCTACTGTAATTTTTATATTTAGCAGGCTAAAGCACCAAAAATGTATCATTATAGTGTCCTTTTCAATTACAGTAATATACAGTATCAACCATATTCCAGTTTGAGCTCATCAAAGAGCACCAAAGCTTGATGAACTATAGATGTATTTACCAAATGGTAATCCATGGGCAGTAAACAAAAAATCTATGCAAATAATATACTTTATATGTAATTAGTATATCGCTGCTTTAAAATTGTGATTATTATATCAAAATAATATATACAATTGCTTTGATTGCAAGATTTTGCAATTGTGTCCTTAGTGGGGGAAAATGTCTTCACAGTTATTTACCAGTGTAATATTTTATCTTTTCACATGAGAATTAATATGTTTCTATAAAAGGAACATGTAACGGAGAAGATTTTTTCAATTGGTTTTTCACAAACTCATTTTCCAGTAGCCCATAAAGTCTTACTGCTGGCATAACAGGAGTCTTGCAAGTGATTGCATCTCTTTTATCCCACTGTCACTGTACAGGGTTGCGTGTTCGCTATCGTATTTATTAATTGCACATCAGAAAGAGCTGCTACCAGTGTTACCAAGTAGGGAGCTATTGTTAGTCTCTTTGCTCTGTTATTTAAAGCTTCCTTAATATAAGAGTGTATTAAGAATCTAATATCATTCTTCTAAATTACTTTATTTTTCTTTACAAAATGCTGAAAAATATGTCTTTCAATAAGAGTCAGTTACATGAAACCCGTGTTTCAATGCTCCAGTGCTTTTTATATCCTTGTTTAAGTTGCCTTTGTACTTCCTGCACTAAACATTAATAAAGTTAATTAGAACTCAAAAACTGGGCCTGATTACACACATGGCATAGGGGGGTTTTCAGCCATGGTGGGAATCAATCTCCTGTTTCTGGGACTGTTGTAGCTGTCATTATACACTAATTACATTTCCCGCCTTTGCTGAAAAAAGAGAGGTATAAACACAAATCAGGGAAGGATTCAGAGCAGGCCTGTAAGACAGACATTTCTTCAGCTCCCCTTGCAAACAATGGGCATGGCTCCCCCTGCAAACAAAAGACTCCTTTGGTAATTTGAAATATGTCTTGAATGTATAACTCAAAATACAGTGACTGTGAGTTGTTCTACTAAGGTCTTCTGCACCTCCAGTATTAACACTTACTACCCCTATTTACAGGGTGCAGTAAAAATTACTGTCTAAAAAGTCCAATATGATTGACTACATAAAATGACATTTCAAACACAAAGAAAATACCTGTTCAAGGGGAATAAAAGTTAGCAGTACACTGGATCTCTTCAGTTGCTGGGGATGTGCTAAAATAAAAGGGCTAAAAGTAGAGAGCCATACCTTAAATATTAGGATGTTCCTCCTGCATTTGGAGGATGGTAGTGTAGGTGGTGTGTAGGTGGAAGTAAAAATTATTTTCATGAACTCTGTAAACTTGTTCATTTGAATTAATGGGTGAAACTCCACCTCAGAAAACTGACAGTTCAGGATGCTACTGCGTAGCTGATCAAGCAAAGAAAAGTTACAAAAGTATCTACTGAATTTCGCAATGAACAAAATGCTGCTAGAAGCCTTTAAAATAAATATTTATCTTTAAATCACAGAATTTAAGCTACATTTTTTTACAGTTTGGGAAGCTTTTAGAAAGGTATTCCAGGGCTTATAGTCCTTCTAAGGTATTGTGTTTCTGAATTAATCCTTTCAAGCAGCCATCAAGTTAATTTGCAGAGGTTTTATTTCTGTAACAAGGCAAATAAAAAGCTGTGCAACTTCTTAGAATACATGTAAATACAGCATCCAGATTTTTTCTTCCTTCTGTGCTTCTTTGTACCATCATAACCTAATCTACTCAGAGCTAAAGTACATGGTCCAGTTGAAGTACACAGTAGGCTTTCTTTCTACATTTTATCTTGCTTTAATTTCCATTAGACACAAACTCATACACAGGGTGTTTTTGATATGAAAAATGCTAGTATTGCCTAATGAGTTCAGAGAAAAAAAAACTTTGAAAGTATTATAGCTGCATTGATTTCTATGATTTTTTGTTTTTATTAAAGTATAAAACTCGGCTTGTAAATTATATAGAGTAAATTGCTTTAATTAAATTTAAAAATTAATTCATTTATTCAGTTTAAAATTTAAAGTTAATTCAATCCCAGAATACTTAGGGTAGACCTTTATTGGTATGTGCTAGTCATTTTTGGCAGGTATTGAGCCTACTCCTACAGCTAAGGGATTGAGCAAGAACCACTTCTGTTAGAAATGGACAAAGGTTTCACGTACTGTGCCACACCCTCTCTACAATTCACACCTGAAAATTAAGTCCTTATAAAAAGAGCTTCCTGATTTAGTCAAACACGACTGCTCAGATAAAAGCATTTGAAGTAATCTTGCAGGGCTCCTTCCCTACCTGAGCAGGAGACAGAAGGCACAAAAATCCATTACTTTTCTTGCCAGTCCAACTGTAAAGGTCTAACACATCTTTTTGATACTTCATATGCATTTTGGATGACTTTTCATTTCACTCAGTAAAAGAATTTTGATTACTACATCAACTTTTACTTCCTGTAGACACTGTATTGTTTGTGGTAGTAGTATAAATTTGTATGAAATATTCTAATGTTTTGACCTTAGCAAGGCAGGAATGTTTGCAGCAGCCTCTTCAAGCTGCACACAGCCAAGCTTGACACCTGACTCACAGGTTGTGGGTAATACCCCAGTGTGTGTAAGCCCAGAAGCAAAAGTGGAGGGAGTGCTTTCATTGCAAACAAGTGCCAGCATCTGGTGACTGCCATGAGAGGTGATAGTGCTCTGGATCGGGCGCTTCATTGAAGAGGCATGGACCAGCAACATGAAAATACTTATTTTTAGTTGCCAATTATTATGGCAACACTACTGCTTCAGAGACTGAAAGGACCACATGTAGGAAAAAAATGTCTCAGATGCAGTTGCTACAAATATTTTTCCTCCAGCACAAAGTTTTCTTTGTTTTCCCTCATACAACCATTCCTCAGCCTGACCCATCCAAAGTCACATTCTCCAGAACTGCACGAGTTAATGCTGACCAGCTGGAGGTGTTGCAGCCCTTCAGGCTTTTATAATAAAAGCTGAGAAGGACGACATTTACTGCTAACACTTTTTCCACAACCATTTCTAATGAGTAGGACCAAATTATAATTTTTACACTAATCTTTCCAAGCCTTACAATACTCAGTAACTATAAAACAAATGGGCAACAAACAGGGGTCAATAAACCCGAAGCTATGGCACCTAAAACATTATAATAAGCAAGCAGGGTCAAGTGAAAGAGCTCAGCAAAAAAGCAATTACATGACAACATTGCTTTCTCCAGAATGAAATAAAGCATTACTATACCATTTTCTAATTTTTTTTAATGTGATGTATGGGTTCTACACAACTGAACTGCAGCAGAAAAATAACTTCTCTTGAAAGTTTGAGGAACTATTGCCTAGTTTATTAAATAAAAGAAATTAGACAAACTGCACTTTATCAATTTTTCAATCTAATTTTATGCCAAGATTCCTATATCTAAGAAATTCTGAAATTACCATCTGCTATTAAATTAACTACAGCACCAACTAATGAACTTGGTTTGTGTTTTTTTAACGCAAGAAGCAAACACATTTTCTTCCTTTCCAAACACATTTTCTCTATTGCACTATTGTGTGTTCTAGGTGAAGTATAGTATTTAGAACAGGGCTCTACACCTCACTGTAAAAACATGTTTGATAAAGCATTCTGGTCACTCTGACAGCAGTACAAAATAAACAAGAGGTGTTCAGGCACAATTTGTCTCTCCCTCCCAGCTGCAGAGGTAGCCATTAAGTTTCATATGTTAGCTGGGTACATTTAAACTCCTCTGTGCTTCTTCTTCCATAATGCAGCTTTTTCTTTTTTGTGATCCATGCAAAGGCATACACTGAAGAATTGTTAAGGGAAATATGTTCTAGCAGCATACCAGAAGGACACTAAGCAGATGACTTGCATGCGACATCAGCCCTATATGCCGTAGGAGGCATAACACTTGAAATGTAACCCAAACAGGCAGATAAGGTATTTCATTCCACAGAAAGAAAATGGTTCCTTTAATCTAAATGAGCTTATTCCACTGCTGATACCAGATTTGTATGTATTTTGGGAGGATAATGTACCCCTATTTTTAAATCTGTGTTACATTAGTCAGAAAAAATAAACTATGGAAAGACAGAAGTGCAGAGACTGGGGAGAAGAGTTGATTAATGTGCTGCCTGATTTCACTTCTGGGACCTGAAATTGCATTCAGTGCAGAATGAAAGAACTAGGGGGGGAAAAACCCAGTCTCATCTGACATCTATAAAGGTCATGAAGGAAATGATGGTGGGTGATCCAGAGTTGGTATGGCCACAGGTGTCTTTTCAAAGACATATATCAGAATATCCTCAGAGTAAGCAATGCTGTTGGGCTGTTAGTTCTTGAAGCCCTCAAATGAATCAAAGGAAGGAAAAGTCTGGCAGAGATAAATATGTGCTACCATAAAACCTGAGAATATTTTCATCTTAAATCCAAGCACCAGCTCTGCTCCTCTTCACTTTGGTAGCAAAAAGAAGAGCATGAG